TCCCAGGGCAGAACTTGGATCGCCATGTCCCAAGCAAAACCGATTTGATTCTGCACTACAACTTCGCCAATGCCACTGGAACCACAGTTCCAGACTTATCAGGGAATAACTACCACGCCACATTCAATCACACCTGTCCCATCGATACTTCTAACTCAACAATCAGGTTCACAGGAACATGCACCCTCACTACACCCATCCAGAGCAAAGGGAGAGACTATACCCTCTCTTTTTCTGTATATCCTTCCACAACTCACCCGTCACCTTTATTCTCGGGGAGAGACTCGACACTCCTCAACGGCAACGGGTCAATTAGTAATATTACCCTGGTGAGCGGCGGGAATCCATACACATTGAATTACAGTCTTCCGGTCGGTAAATGGTCGGATGTTAGTTTAATCGGAAAGGGTAATAAAACTTTTCTTTCCGTTGATGGTGGCGAAAAGATGGAGTTTCTAGCGAGACTAGGGGTGAATGGGGAGTCGCTAGTGTGGGCGCCCATTGCGATCGAGGCACCAGTGCAGAGGATCGGGGAGGGGTTTGTAGGGATGATGGGGGATGTTAAGTTGTGGGGGAGTGCGAAGTGAAGATGATACCTTTGATCAGCATTCTGAATGTCGAGTACATCATACTTCAGTTCAGACAGTAACCTTTCAGTAGTACACTTCGTGAGCGAAATCCATGTTCGCTAGCCTACATCCTACTACGTAGCAGAAATATATTTCAACAACACTAGTACAACCGAATTTGAAATAACAGAAACCAGCTAACCCATTCCGACTTCCACGATGTTTGCCACTCCAATCCCCCTAATAAACAAAACCAAGAATCCAACCCGCCCATTCATGGTCCAATCCCATCCACGAGTCCCTGAAAATGGCTATCACTGGTTACTGGATAGACAGTGGATAATAGATAGTGGTTCCCCTCCCTCCCGTCTGCCGGACCCGCCCCGATTAAAGTTTTTCATTGCAAATCTAGTCTATAAGCGAAGCGATCCAGAAGCATGATTTTTGTTCTGGTGGAACTTTATTCCTTTATTTACTTTTCATCAGTAATGGAAATATCTCACATCAATAAAAAAAAAAAGGATAAAAATTCTACTCTGGGAAGTTACTTAGTCGTGATGGGTAGATAGTATGGATAACTGAGAAGAGAGGGGGCCAAAAAAACAAAAAATGGAGCTGAAGGGGATCGAACCCTTGACCTCTCGCATGCAAAGCGAGCGCTCTACCACTGAGCTACAACCCCAGTTGAGATACTTTCCTAATTCATCTAATGGATCAGGAGATACTCATGC